GACAGAGTATAGTTATGTGTGCAATGTCTTGCCATTTTGGTGTTGAATTAAAGATGAAGAAATTGTAGCTGCGTATTACCCACAGGCCTGAAGGACAGGAGAACCCAGAAATTAGGGTTAATTTAGCATGAACACACTGGGCAAATAATGAGTCATCCAGCTCAGAGGATATAAACACCATGTGAAAGAGGGAAGAAAAAAGGACAGACAAAGAGTTTTGGTTGGACAATAGAGAATTGGGTCAATGAGATAGGAATAGCTAAATAAAATTTTAAGCCCCCTCTTTGCCAATCTCTGTTATCTCACCACATACTCTCTATAGGGAGTAGTGTTGATTTAAACCTGTGGAAGAAGGAGAAGGTGAAAACCCAGACAAAAATGAAGTCAGTAAGTACATTGAAGGAAAACATAATGTTAAAGTATATACAGATGCATCGGGAACGTTGGATAATAGAGTAGGACTAGCGCTGCAGATTTAAATGTAATGTCAAATAAGAGGGTTGGTCATGACCCAGCTGTATATACAGGGGAACTGTTGTGTTTGCACTGAGCTGGATAGAGGAAGTCAAACCAAGCAACGTTTTGATAGGGTCTGATTCCAGTGGTGCACTAATAAGTGTTAAATGCATGCAGTCAGATAAAAGGCAGGCCATTGTATTTGACATAACTGAACTCATATTCAGAATTAAGAAGGAATGAATAGAAATGAAATTCATGTGTATTCCTCTGTGTGGATGGAAATGAGCTGGCAGACAAATATGCACAATGAGGAACAAGGAAGAAAAGAACGGTCTGAACAGAAACATTAAACATAACAAATTAGCATGCTACAGGTAGATAAGATCATTGTGGACAACACGAAACTGTCCTAGATAGCAACAAGAGAGACAGACACTTAAAATTACACTCCAAAGGAATCACATGACACTAGATATGTTGCAGAGGAATTCAGGTGATGTAGATTTTGCAAAACGCTTGAGTTCATTCTTCCATCCATTTACATCTATGAATAAAGCTTACCTAATATAATCAAATCGGAAAATCCAATTTTTTTCCTACAAAAGTACTCCAACTTTACAGCACATTTAGAGGGTGCAGCAACATACCTTTAATTTGAAGCCAGATTTCCATGTACAGGGCGGCGCGGTGGTGCAGTGGTTAGCACTGTCGCCTCACAGCAAGAAGGTCGTGGGTTTAAACCCCGGTTGCCCTGGCCTTTCTGTGTGGAGTTTGCATGTTCTCCCCATGTCTTCGTGGGTTCTCTCCAGGTGTTCCGGCTTCCTCCCACCATCCAAAGACATGCAGGCTAGGTTAATTGGTGTCTCCAAAATTGTCCTTAGGTGTGAATGTGAGTGGTTGTTGTAAGTGTGCTTGCCTTTGGTTTGTTTAAATACCTGCCAGCCATGTGTCCTGCATTTGGGTCCTCCAACCTGCCTCTCCACACACTAACTATGATAGTTGTCTGTCTATGTGTGGCCCTACGATGGACGGGTGACCTGTCCGGGGTGTATCCCGCCTTTCGCCCAATGTCAGATGGGATTGGCTCCAGCCCCCCCCATTTTATCTTCCAGGTCTTCAGAATACAGCGGCAAATCTGCTGTCACAGGGAGGTCCTCAGGACAGTGAGTGGCGCTTGCATCTGCAGGCAGTGTGAGAGAGATGGCTTCGCTGTGGCCAGGCAGAGATTGACCTTTTTGCCACAGCGGAGGACACTCACTGTCCCCTCTGTCATCAATGGCGCCAGGACCACTGGGGATGGACGCCCTGAGCCTTTTGTGGACATGTGTGCATTCCCCTCACCTCATCTCCGGCCAGTTTCGCTCATGAGAGCGAGACAGGAGGTGGTGCTGAATTGCCCAGTCTTGACCTTCAGTTTCCTCTCGGTTGGTAGTCATCCTTGCACGCAGGAGCAGATCCCCCTGCAAGGCTTGTGGCATACTCTATGAGGGGATTGACCACTTCATGGGCACTGTTTCGCTTAGAGGATGTGTGTGATGCGGCTGGCTGGACATCCTTGTCAATCTTGACCAGGTTTAATTGGTTGAACCTGGCTTCATCCGCTGTCCCCTCGTCTGTTTTGACGAGGGGACTGTTCCTGCCCTGTTCCTGCCCTTTTTTGTTTCTCATGCTCCTGGATGCTTTGCCTTTCATTAGCTTGGATAGACTCGTTTTTTTTACACACCTTTTGGTTGCTGACAATGAAAAATGCTGGAACTTAACTGATTGTGTTTTTCTAAAATGCGGTTGAATCCTCCTCTGTATGGCTTTTGACCTGTAGGTGGTGCCAATTCACTCTCCTTGTGACTGATCTGGGATGTCACATGATTACAGGTTCACAGAAATGAAATAAAACAATTGTTTACATAAATGAAGTAAACCTGTAACCCTTCATTGACACTCGACGGTTGGCCCTGTCTTTTCCATCCCAGTCAGTAGAAACAGGGTGTGTGGATGCGTGTCATACAGTGAGCAGCCGGTGATGTCACACCCACAGCTGTGGTTATATTGGTATAATGCTCCTGAAGGGTGATGTGACGTGGTTACAGATTAACCTCCATTAATAAAACCGCACTGTACATGCATGAACATTCGGTGTGTAATACAGCATCTCATCAGGTTACACTTTCAGCTGCTTTCTTTATTAATTAGATGTTAACACTTCGGACGTCATACATGTCATTAATGTATCCTCTCAGTCTGACAGGAGATTACGACATGTCAGGCGTATGTTAATGACATGAGTGTGTGTGTGTTCATAAGTGATTTCAAATCTTTTGTTTATGAATCTAGTGAATAGTGGAGGGGAAAAAATACCAAGTAGCTGAGTAAAGATTTAAGGATTTAAAATTTCCTGTCTTTTCCTGTCTGCATGTCCTAGTGGTAATATCAACATAGGTACTGCCACTGGGGGACAGTGGACACAACTACTGTAACCACGAAGACTTCAACACCAACTTTAACAAAAGGGTCGTGTATATAAAATAAAGTCACTCCATCCAAACAAGTTCATGTTTGTGTTTTTTTTGTTTTTTTGTTTTTACGTTTGATGCTTCAGTACATTTCATTTCTAGCACTTTAACAGTTTAACTACTGATGAAAGGACATTGGCGTCTCCTGCAGTAACATTCCACTAAGCAACAGTGATTCAATGGTATGAAAGGTGCTTTATAGACCCACGCTGGTTGGCTTGATTTCACTAGTAAAAATCTTTTGAATAAATTTGATTACAATATTATATAAATGTTACATATCTCCTCACAGAGACGAGGCAACAGAGGAAGCAGCCAATCATGCTACCTGCTGATACTGAGTCTGAACTTTGGCACCGTTTTCTGTTAAACGTTTGTTATAATAAACAATGAAAACCAATCTTACAATGAGCGACAGCTCACCAGGAACAAGCTCCCTACTTGAGGGTGTGGGGCTGTCTATTTAGGGATTTTAAAATTGTATTGGTTGGTCTTCTAGCGCCGCCTGGTGATAAATCTTCATTTTGCTTTTGTTACAAAACAACATTCAGTATCGATGCTCTTTCTCACTTTATGGCAGTTTGGCATTTTCCGCTCAGCAAAACAAACCCGATTCTACTTTGGGTATTTTTATGTGTGAGCATAATAGAATTATCTGCACTCTGAAAAACAAATATTATAGCCCCTATTTAATAAGGTAGCCTTATTGAGATTGATATCTCTTTTGCAGAGGAGACCTGAGTACAGCAGGAGAAATAGAACAGAGACTCAAAGCGCTTTTACACTACATCTGCATTCACCATTCACTCACATTTATACACTGAGCCTAAGTGCTCAAACAGAAACTATTGCTGACCTTCCGATTAACGGCCAACCCGCTCTACCTCCTGAGCCACAGCCGCCCTTTATAAACATAGAGATAGACAGTGTGTAGTTCTCTCCTTGTTGCTTGTGAGGACCATCCTACTTTCTCATATGGTAAAAAATGATGAGTATGACCTTCTCTGTTGTATAAAGTAGTTGCTGATTTGACCCTTTGATTAGTCTAATGCAAGTTGGACAGTTTCACTGAAATAATGACCTTAAGCCTAAAAAAGGTTACCCTGGCAAAACTCATAACTAACAGCTATGTTTTCATGGTAACCATCAGTGACTCATAATGTGTTTGCGAACAATGTTGTGGAGCGATTAATGACAAGGGGAAAGGGTTTTTAGAGAGTGATGTAACTTGTTGGAAATACACCGTACGTGCATGAGCTCCGCTACAGGTCTGCACTGAGGTTTTAGGAAGTTCTGGAACATTTTTGTGTTATTACACCCTTTACTGAATTTTCCCAAATAAAATGTCCCTTACTACTGTTGAATTCTTCCAGAAGGCAAATGCTTTCTGCTGAAGTGAGCACAGCTGAGCGGTTTGACGTAGTTGCTCGGTCAACCATGTTGTTTTTAGTTGGAAAAAGGTCTTTATTTACCCAAAATTCACAACAAGTTAATCATACTTAAGATGGTCGAAAGCTAGACAGCTTTGTGCAACAAAATCATTTGAACATCCAGCTGACTATTATGTGAAATCTGAGTGTTAATGTGTTTGAAATCAGATTCACATTCTGAATTCAAACACATTAACACTCTCCTCTGAGCATCTTTAACCATTTACTCATTTAAGTTTACTTAATAGTATACGCTTCATTCTGATTTCCAATATGGTGATTATATTATTGCATTAGTGACACCTAATGCATGTCCTTTCATCCTTGTGGCGTTTCTAAAACTAAGAGTCTAAAGCAAGAAGGCACGGTATGATGTACAGATTGTAAAGCCCTCTGAGAAACTTTTGCTGATTTGTGCACATTAATACATTTTGGCAAGCATATTTAGTATGAACAAAAACATAACAGACTGACTGAATTTCATATCTATGACCTTCAGCACACAGGAAGGTTGAACACCTAAACCAACATGCCAAGAGACATTTAGTCCCAGTAGACTGATGAAATAGGAAGCGGAGAAGTAAAACAAGAAACTCAGAAATGCTGTCTTATATTTTATTGTGATGGGGAGTCATAAAAATGGAGCAAAACTAAAATAAAAACAATACAAAAAGACAGTGGATTTACAAAGGGTTATGACAGATATGCAGCCTTCGACAGTACAATGGAACAAGTTGGCACAGAACAGAAAACGGTGGCAGGACGATCTAAATTTGGCTTTGAAATAAAAAGGGAGGAGTAACGGCTTCATAACAAGATCCTTCATTAAAACGGCGACGACTCATGCTTTTAAAATCACAGAGTTTTAGAATTCAGTAGCTTGATAACGACGCAAAGAGCGGATGCACATGTAACAGTTTCTATTTCTCACTTCATTCCTGTCTTTTTTTTCATTTTTTAGCTTAAAACAGAAGTCATGTTTACAGAATACATGTTTTATCTTTTTGTTTTTTTTTGTTAAAACAAACTTCAGCTCCCAGAACCACATTTTGGGTTTTTTGTTTGTCTTCAGATTATTTTTCATACTAAAATATATTATTGTATCAATTCAAACTACAGTAATGTACACTACAATGTGTAATAAATAACCATAAAAGAAAATATAAAAATAAGACACATAAATATAAAAAAGTCTTCTAAAAACTAAACAGGTATTTTTTTTTAATCTGTGAAAAGGGTTCTAATACTGCCATTGTTGAAAAAACATAGAGGACAAAAACAAACAAACAAAAATAAAACAGACTAATACTTTAAACACTGTTCGGTAAAACCAACTGAAAACACTTCAACAGAGACCACATTCACTAACGTTTGTTACCTGAAGTGTGGGACAGCTTGCCACCATTTGTTTTAACTATCTGAAAACAAGTGCACAAGTTTGAATTAATTTATAATTTTACTATAAAATCATTTTGTCTCTATTTTACTTGAAAGTGATCTTGGTTTTTCTTTTTTTTTTTATTTCTTCCTGAGCCAACCTGGTGGAGCAGAAGGTCAAGTTGCAGTTCTAACATCTCCTGCATATCTTTAGCTTCAAATATTTCAAACTGCCTCAACAGAGCATTTTCTGTTTATAAGCACTTCTGTAAACATTTTTAAAACTTTGACTTGTGATATAAAGTTCAACATATTAACATTTAACATCAGCGGGGAAACTGATTATCTCACATTTACAAGGCATTTTATATCCACAGGTAAGCTCAGTCTGGACTGTATTTCTCCACTTCAAAATGTTTGACTTTAGAACTACAATTTGAAGAATTTGGACACTGTTCAGCAACTGAAAATGATTCCTCATCAGCAAGTATTGAAGTTTTTTAAAATGTGCAATTAAATGTATATGTACAGCTGAATTACTTAATTAATTAATTGATTAGTTAGTTTGGGAAAAACAAGCAGCAGCTTTTTTGATAACTGATTGTTTCAGTAATTTTTCAAGCAAAAATCCCAAACATTTTTTGTTTCCAGCTTTTCCTGCGTGATGATTTGCTGCTTTTCTGTTTTATGTAATTGCAAACTAATAATATTTAAAAAATAATAATGTAAACTAGTCTTTGGGTCTCAGATTTAAGTTCAGACAAAACAAGACATTTAAAGGCGCCATCTTGGCCGCTGAACAAATGAAATAAACATTTCATTATTATCTGCCATTTTATAGACCAAACAATCGATTTAATAAAAAAAGATGGTCATCAGATTAACCAATAATGAAAATAATTAATAGTTGATGCCCTAATACTGTATTTCCCAGCTTTCACGTGTTGTCCAAACACTTTTAAAGGCTTTGAAAATATTCCAAAATAATTAAAACATAGGAAGTGTCTTTCAGGTATTGTGACAGAGTTGCTGTTCTGTGCAAGTCCACAAACATTAGTCAATATGGGTCTTGTGTTAGTAACAGAGGGACATAACACTGGCTACATGTGTGAAGAAGAAATGATAACACTGTTCAATGGCACTTTTAACAGCACACAGGTCTTGCATAAGGCTGGAGGCATTGGGGTGGAGCAGGAATCGGCCCCGTTCCTTCACATACAGTATGACTTCATATATAAGCTAATAACACTGAAACACTAACTCAGAACTAAAGTCAACCAAAATAAGGAGAAGCTTGGTAAGAATGGGCGCACGTGTTTTAGAACCACAGCTGAGCCAGGCGTGGTGGAGTCTGCTTTTGAATCTTCATCTGGAGACTCCACCGGTACAGGCTACGCCGGGTTATAAAACAGAGGCGCCTGATGCTGGCTTTGAGGTTGTGACTCTACCTTCCCTGATAGGACAAATTTGGTTATGGCATAAAGAAGCCACGTTCTCATCCCGGACTCCCCATCCCGCCCACAACCCTCCCCAAGAATACTTTGATTTCTTTAAGGCTAACAGTCAAACTGAAAACAAAAGTAATGCTAGCTAGCAAAGACTAACACTAACACGAACAACATCTCGCTAGCTAGTGTACGTATATAACACTGAAGGGCATACAATGCATGAGGCATGTATCCATAGGTAAACCAGGAATACTGTAGTGCAGAGGTTTTTGTTCGTAGAACTCAATAAAATACTGATTTAGGAAACTTCATTGGCAATAAAAAGGTATAGAAATCTTTCTCATCTTTACAGGTTAAAATGTTTTCAAACAAGAATAAGATTAGTAACACTGACCAAATGAAAACAAATAATAAAACAACCTGGGATGTCTCAGTAACAAGTTGATGGGTGAGTTCTGCTTTAAAATCTGTACTTCTATAAACAATTTTTAACACTGATAATTCAATTTCACAAGAAAAAAAGTCACTGTTATGTTTTTGTTTTTTCTTTTTTCAAGTTCAGGCACACCTGGGTTTTTGTACACAGTAGTGGACCGTTAAGATCAGGCAACCGCCGTGACTTGCTCAACTTTTCAGCGGTTTTGTCTTAATTAACTCGACTTTGACCAACACCTTAAAACTGTCCCGAAGAGATTTTCCTTCTTTTATTTGGCGTTTGTCATCACTTCCTCTGTGGGTTCAGTGCTGTCTGACCCCTCCCTGATGCATTTGTCCGTATTTTCTTCACAGTCTGCCACTCCCTCTGTATCCACATTTGCTGCTTCCTCCTTTTCTTCAGTTGTTTCCCCTATCTCTTCGTCCTCCTTTTCTTCATTTGTTTCCCCTATCTCTTCGTCCTCCTTTTCTTCAGTTGTTTCCCCTATCTCTTCGTCCTCCTTTTCTTCATTTGTTTCCCGTATCTCTTCGTCCTCCTTTTCTTCAGTTGTTTCCTCCATCTCTTCATCCTCCTTTTCTTCAGTTGTTTCCTCCATCTCTCCGTCCTCCTTTTCTTCAGCTGTTTCCCCTATCTCTCCGTCCTCCTTTTCTTCAGTTGTTTCCTCCATCTCTCCGTCCTCCTTTTCTTCAGCTGTTTCTCCTATCTCTCTGTCCTCCTTTTCTTCAGTTGTTTCCTCCATCTCTCTGTCCTCCTTTTCTTCAGTTGTTTCCTCCATCTCTCCGTCCTCCTTTTCTTCAGTTGTTTCCTCTATCTCGTCATCCTCCATGTGATCATCCCCCAGTTCGACCTCCAACACATCACAAACTACCTCATCGTCCACCTTCTCGCTTACCGCCTCTCCCTCTCCTGTTGTCTCTTCCTCCACCACCTCCTCTCCGTCCTCATCGTCATCATCAAAGTTACCCTCGTAGATCTCGCACTCGCCATCGTCTACCTGCACAACCCGGATGTCGTCCATACACATAGCCTCATCGTCTTCATCCTCCTCTTCCTCGCTCTCCCTCTCATCTGAGTCCAGTTGGGAGGGTGGGGTCGTGGTCCGACTGTCCGAATGCGGTCCAGGACCAGGGCTGCCGAGCTCAGACTGAGCCCTGCGTGGCCCTGAGCCGGAGCCTGAGTTTGGCCCGTCCTTCTTGCAGTAGGAGTAGCGGTGGTTCATGTGCTGGGAGTATGAGCCGGAGTGAGAGAAACGCTTCCCGCACTTATCACACTGGTAGGGTTTTTCACCGGAGTGCAGCCTCGAGTGTTCGATCAGGTGGTGTTTGTGTTTGAATGCCTTCTTGCAGGTGTTGCACTCGTGGGGCCGTTTTCCTGCAGAACAGAACAAAGAGTCAGACAGGAACTCAAAATAATTCAAACTAAACTGAAACAGTCAGATGAAAGTAGCAGAGTAAAAAAAACTACAACTGATCTTTTAAGGAAAGGGATTTTTTAATGATATTTAAAATATTCAAGTAAAGTGCCCGTACTTGGATTGTTTATGAAAGTCTTTTGATATTGGTTCTCAACCTAGGGCTCTGGGCCCCCACAAGGGGTTACAAAGGAGGGGTTGAGATAATTAACAGGATGCACAAAATTATGTTTCTTTTTTATTCCTTTTTCCTACAAATGGTTTAAACATTTTTAGATCTGAAACAATAACACAATCAACTCGTAAGTTGATTTAATGAAAAATAACTGGCAACTATTTTGATAATCCATCAATTGTTAAAGTAATTTATCAAGTGAAAAAAGTCAAAGTAATTTATCAAGCGAAAAAAGTCAAATGCTACCTAATTCCAGCTTCTAAATTGTGAGGATTTGCTGCTTTTCTTTGTTGAATAAGAATATTCTCTAGGTATTGGTCTGTTAGCCGTATGAAACAAACTATTTCATATCAACATAGACTTTTGTCATGAGCATTTCTCCCAATTGTCTTTAATTTTAAAGGCTGAATGATTGATCGAGGAATCAAAACAACAAATAATTGGCCTTGAAAATAATTGTTAGTTTGCTGCATTTGACCTTAAAATCACTCTTTGGTAGACATATGCAGTGGGTATTGCCTATGCATAACAGGTCACAATGGGTCAAAGGTTCAGCCAGTGCTCTAAGGTAAATAAGCCTGTATTAAAGCCATATTTTCAAGGCATTATGTGAAATGATGCCAGTTGCTCTCTTAAAGCACCATTCTCCATCTTCACTGGGTAGGTATGCAAAGTTGTTCAATGTAGAGGTAAACAAGCGAGCTGGCAAACTAATTACTGACTCATCTGTATCTGGATATGGTTGTGATCATTTTTTGTAAATGGAACATAAATTGCTTTAGAATATTGCTTTTAATAGTTAAAAAATATTCTTAATGATTCTCAGTGGACAAGATGTTATTTTATATTGTATTACTTACGTACGTAAGACAGTGTCTTGTATCTATCGTTTGTGTTTCAAGAAATTATGTCATGGCTGAACCATCACATACCTGTGCACAGTAGTGCAGTGCAAAGCTAACTGCTAACAGGTTTTAATAAAAACACATTACAATGGGATACTAGTTGGAGCTTCTGGGGGAAAAATCTAGTTAATTCCCCTCAGGAGTCTCATCTCTATAAATACTGATGTCAACTCTTTCTGAGCGGGGACGTTTACAGGCCAGCTGTCCCGTAAAAGTTATAATTACACCAAGTAAAACACATATAATGAGAGATGATGTCACATGTAAAACCATGACCTTGACTAGAGCTAGAACTAGCTTTGGGAAAAATGTGTTGTTATGTCTTAGCCAGCTTTTAATTTTAAGGCATACCTGTATGTTCATATTTGTGCCTGAGCAGGGAGCTGCCCTTCTGGAAGACTTTGGAGCAAAGATCACATGGGTAGACGCCGTTTTCCAGTCGTCGCTTCTTAATCAGTGAGGCTGAATCAGAGTCATTCTGCTCCTCCACTGTGGAAACACCGTCAGAGTTGCTGTCCAGCCTCGTCTCCTGTTGTAAAGGCAAGAAAATTTTAATTTATTAACCTAAAAGTGGGGAACTTTAGCTCAGTGATCAGTGCTGGAACCTCCAGATTGAGAGGCCTGGACAGTGAATGTTATAAAGTTATATATATAGATAAATCTCTTCAGTTGATTTGTCAACAGTTGTCCGCCGAACAGAATCAGATAAACACTGATTTTTAACGTCAAACTGCTTTCATTCAGTGTTTCTGCTGGTTTTATTCAGCTGGTCCTGGTCTAGAGGAGACCTCTGCAGATAATTTTAATCCGTGGTAAAAACCTCCTGAACATTGAACACTGAAGGAATCTAAACCGGGAGAAGCTGACTGCAATGACAGCAATTGTGGTGAACACAACAACTCCCAAGATCCCATGCTACTTTCTCATAAACTATGTCTTTTGTTATTATTTTGATGTGAGAAGCCCATAGCAGCAGAAAATGATATGACATGTTTTATATATCCATGTACTCCTAGCAGGTTGAACATATTCACCTTAGATTTGGGCAGAAAAGTCTTAAGACACTGATGATGCTGGGGATGCAAACTTTGTCATGAAACAGGAAGTTGTTGTAACTTTAGTATACATTGTTCAATCTGCCCCACTCTTCACATGTCCCGACCTCAGGACATTTAAATGCAAATTAGGACTCGTGGTCGTTGTGCCAACTGCTGCCAACAGGAAGTAAGCCCTGTGTAACAATCATTTGATTTACATGAAATTGTCACGGTGTAGTCCACACTTGACCTACATACATAACGTTTAATTCGCGTTTAATTCGTGTTCTCTAGCGCCACATAGCAGAAGAGATGTTTTACTCCTTCATGTATCTGTTCATGTTCACCAGCATTTGGACGTCTAAAGGAACACTGATTACCTGTTACAGTGGCTATTACAACATCTTTTATAATAAGAAATCTATATAAATTGTCTGAAAGCCCACAGAAGAAATACTGTTTGGTAAACACAATGTTTAACACTACTAACCTTATGGCCGTTCAGCACGACAGTCTTTGCTCCAGTGGCGTTGCCGGCTGTAGTGGCGTAGGTGTAGGTGAGCTGGGGGATGAGAATGGTGCGCTTCGTTGTTGTGTTGATGGCGCTGAGACAGCTCATTGTGCCCTGACCAGCGATGGCCACTAATGTGGGCAGCTGTGCGGCAGTGACAATGTTAACAGATCTTCCGGTCTGAGGCGTGGTGACGTAGATGGTTCTACCCTCCAGCTGCTCCTTCCTCAGGCAGGTTAAGTTTAGAGGCTGTTCCTGCTGCTTGGCGGGAGGCGTGGTTATTGTTTTCAATGCCGCCGCAATATGTTTAGGAAGGGAGAGGTCAAGCGGCTCTGCCTGGGAGTCTGAGGCCTCTGGATCATCTGGCTCACTTTTAACAATGATGAGGTCCTCTGTGTTGGGGCTTAGTGGTGAACAGTCTGACGGAGAAGCGCTGCCAGATTCTGATGAAGCTTTGTTGGATGTATCTTTAATGCTGTCTTCCACTGCCTCTCCATTCTGATTTGAAGTATTCTTTGAGCTGGAATTTGTGGTTTCAGTCTTTTTGGAAACTGCTTTTTTGCGGCATTTGCCCACATTTTTCCCAGAGTTCATTTTGGCAAACCACTTTCTGACCACATCCACGGGAATACTCACAGACTCGGAGATCTTTGTCAGCTCCGCCTCGCTGGGGTTGGCATTGGAGGCAAAGTAGGTCTTGAGGAGTGAGAGGAGATCGTCCACAGGTGGCTCCTCCAGCGTCACCCCCGCCTCGTTTAGCAGAGCAGCGAACGAGGGGTCCAAAGCGGCAGAGTCAACTGCCTCCCCATTGGCTGCTTTCCGGTGCTGGAGGAGGTGTAACGCCTCTAGGTTGTCGGGACAGTCGTCGCATAGTAAACATGTACTGGTGCTGCTGACTTTTGGCATCTGAGCTGTTTGGGCGTCAGAAGTCTTAACAGATTCTGTCTGTGTGACCGCCTCTGTCTCCATGATGGGCACCGATTCTGGCTCTGCCTTTACAATGGTGAGGTCGGCAGCCTCTGGTGTTGGGGTTCTATCTGTTGGGGTGGGGTCTGCAGCAGTGGTGACAGTGGGAGGAAGAGGAGGATTGTTTTTGGCAACAAGCGGTGCAGGCTGGGTAGTGGCAGTGGTGGCGGCTGCAGGGCTGATGCTGTAGTTGATGATGATCTTTGTGGTGCCGTCATGATCCACAAAGGCCGGCAGGCTGATGATCTGCTGCTGGGGCTGCTGGACTACAATTCCCTGCTTCCCCTGTGTCACCACCCCGTTAGCTGTACCCAGCACCTGCCTAAGTATGTTTCCGTCCATCGCCACCTTGAGCACATTCTGCAGGTCATTCAAATTGATGCTGATGGGCGACATCAGGCCGACTGTTGGTACAACCATAGCCACACCCTGAGGCAGCGTTGCAGCTGGAACCCCAGCTGGCTGTGCCGTCCCTCCGTTCACCACTCCGTTGGTACCAGCTGAAGTTGCCGGTGCCGCCGTCACAGGCTTGCACTCGTATTCCACAGGTTCAGATTTGATCTGGGTGACAGGGAGCTGCTCTTGGAGGGGTTTGCTTTCAGTCTTCTCTTTAAGAATCACACGGGCCGGAGCAATTACAACAGGTGTAGTCTGGGTGGTGGGTGGGGGGGATTTCATCGACGTTCGAGGGACACCATTAGGAGGTGCTGCACCCACACACTTCTTACTGCTGATATGGGAGCTGTAGGAGCCTGAGTGGGAGAATCGCTTCTTGCAGTTTGAGCATTCATACGGTTTCTCACCTAAGAGGGCACACAGAGAATTTACACCAACTGTTAAAAAATAACCGCCATCACATGTTAAATTAGGCTGATTTTGAATTATATTGTGTTTTCTTATATGCCCAAGAGTCATTTCCAACATTTTGTGTTTTGATTTTATAAACATGTGTTTTTGAACTCCATAAAATTAACCAAAAAGCCAAACAGTATTTTGCAAAACCTGATGTAACAGAGCACCCCAGAAACAGATCACCAAATTAATGAAAATTCTGAAACCAAAACGAACTGAGTTATAATGAACTGGTGATGAGTGTGTACAGTTGATGCTATCAATCAACTACAAACACAGTAATTACAGATAAAATAACCGATATAAATAACTACTACAAGACGAGTGGTCTGTTCAGACTGTGCCGGGTTCTGTGTGTGTGTGTGTGTGTGTGTGTGAATGAATCGGAGTGTCAGTTGCCACAGCAATGGCTCACCGCTGTGAATGCGCAGGTGCTCCTTCAGGTGGTGCTTGTACTTGAAGGCCTTGGAACATTCGGTACACTTGAACTTGCGGGTTCCACCTATTCCTCCTGCTCCTCCTGTCGACTGGGAAACGTGACGCTGAGACAGAAAAAAAAGAAAAATAGATGATGAGGATGTTGAAGAAAACTGCAGCATAAGATGTGTCCATACAGAAATAAGTAAGAGGTCCAAATGTTTCTATTGTTAGCCTGATCTGTTTAATATTCATGGGGGTGAAGTATCAAAACTAATAAGCTTTGACCTTTTTGAAGACACATAGTAACAGTACCTATTTGACACTACTGACGTTACTGTTTTTGTAAACAGCACAATACTGTTTTAGTTATAGCGTAATTATTATAATTTGAACAACATTAAGCTATATTTCATATACAGTACTGTAATTTAATTTGTATAGTAATTTTAAAGATGTCATATTATGCTTTTTTGCCTTTTCCCTCTCCTTTATAGAGTTATATATCTTTTTTGTGCATGTAATAGGTTTGCAAAGTGAAAAAGCCCAAAGTCCAGCCCAAAGGGAGTTCCCGTCTCCCACATAAAACTCTGCTCTGAACTGCCTGAAAACAGCTCGCTAAAAGTGGTTTTTGCCTTTGTCAAAAAAGAGTAAATGCGCTAAATGGGAGATGGAAACACTTTTTCCGAAGAAGTTCTGACGTAGCGAACTCGTAACTCACGACTGATCAGCTGTTTCTGCTGTCGGCGTCTTGCCCGGTTGTGCAGAGTTCTGCATGCCTGCCGAGAATTTCATGCACCTTGTGGCTGGAAACGCTCATTTGTGCTGAGAAAAGAGGTGGATGCAAATCTCGTCAGGCATGCAAAACTTGGCATAACACCGGATATTCCCATAACGTGCAACTGGACCTCTCTCCCTTTTTCTAAGATCAATGGACATCAGGTTCATGCGACTGGTTTTGTTTCTGGTTTGGAATCCATACATCTTGTTTATTACAGCCATGTGTAACGTCAACTACTGGCGTAACTACGCTTGCCGTAGCCTGGTTTATTCGCTCCAAACCAGCTGATGGAAATGCACATATTTCGCAATTTCTTTTTGTATTTCTTTTTTGTGACATTTCAAAAGTGCGTTTAAAATTCTGCCTCTCCTCTCCCTTCCAAACACTAGCTACCCTCCAGGCAGTCAATGGACATAAAGTTGTTACTGTGATGTAGAGACAAAGCTCAGTTATAATGGATGAAAGATACTTTTGTTACAGATTAATAACTCACCACTCTGAAACTCTTGCTCCAGTCCATGTTCCTAAGCTAGTAAGAGGAACATATACAGCTGAACCGAAGTCGTGTTTACCGGCTTCTCACTGACCCACCCTACTCTGCTTCTGATTGGCTAGTAGTCCTTAACTAGGAATTGCACTTGTGCAACTCCCAACAAAGATCTTGTAGAGCTGAGATGCATCACTCCATAGCTAAAACGAAGTGTTCAACACACAGGGTGAAAAGAGGAGCTGCAGCAATGTGCAGTATGACAAAAAATGTGGTGTTTTTTTGAAAATGAATGTAAACCTGTTCTGGTACAACCCCTAAATAAGATTTTGAACCTTAAAAAATGAGCATAATATGACCTCTTTAAAAAACATTTGAAACGGCTGTACTGCATTTTGAAACTGTCCTTTGTATTCATCTAATAAATATACAAATGTCAATTAGATGGTAATCTGCATGAGAAATAAAAATAAGAAAACAAATTGGTTATAACAATCATCAGCTTATAGTGAGAAAGAGGTTTCCACTTTAAGACTTTTCTAGCCTTGAAACCAGATATTTTGTTTATATTTAAGACTCTTCAGGCTCTGATGTTACCTGCTCCCTGGTGCCCCTGTGGTGGCTCATGTGCCTCTCCAGCTGAGAGCGGTAGGTGAAGGTGTAGCTGCAGTGTGAGCAGCTGTAGTTGTCCTCGCTGGTCTCGTGGCGATACTTGATGTGCTCCTTCAGCGAGGCATTGCGCTTGTAGCCCCGGGAGCAGTAGGGGCAAGTGTGCAACTGGGAGAAGGAATCTGGCGTGCCTGTTTGTAGAGACAACAGGGTGATGCATCAATACTGCCATCCCTCATCTGACCTATGCTGCCAGAATTCTTCACTGGAAGGGATTGTCAGATGGCTGAAAAGCTTCTGAAGCCCTGCAGGCGTTGCGGTGATTACCTGGTTTTAGTGATATTTCAGACTGTGGAGTACTGTGGCTGGATTGGACACCACAGTGTGACGTCGAGTTGCGTTTCTCCAAAACATTGATTCCCCAGCATCCCCTGTGGCCCCCAGCGCCTAAACCCCACTAGCCCCATTCAAAATTAATAGGACCTACATTTTTACCGCAGCGCATGATTCTGATCTGAATTCAGCCATATGGCTCTTACCCGTTGCTGGGACCAGCTCAACTCCCCGCGACTCACCTCTACTCGTCTCGCTTTTGGTGCCCTGTCCTCCATTTTCCATTGTAGATATAGTACCCCCTCAATGTAGTTGGTCGTCAGTGAATAGTGACGATCCTCTCTGATCAAACAGTATTCTGCAGTGTTTTCGCATCACCTTTAGGTATTGCTCAGCTTGCTTGGAACCTCGAGAGTGGTGATTGCAAAAAACCTAACAGGCACCAGATTTGCCCAAGGTAAAACCTAAAAAGGGGAGGATAGTTGAGGCGAGTTGAGCTGGTACTATCCAGTGGAAAAGGGACTTTAGTATTGGCTTTAATAGCTGCTAACAGCGATTCATGTTAGCTGTACGGTGATGTTGAACATATAGCTAGATATGTGTGACTATATCTCAAAAGAAAAAGTGTTTTCTGGTTGTAGTGCCTGACTGCCTCTATATTATGACATGTACACTCACCGGCCACTTTATCAGGTACACCTATGCAATTGCTTTTTAACACAAATAGCTAATCAGTCAGTCACTTGGCAGCAACTCAATGCATTGAGGCATTCAATTCAATTCAATTCAATTTTATTTATATAGCGCCAAATCACAACAACAGTTATCTCACAGCGCTTGTAGACGTGGTCAAGAAAACTTGCTGAAGTTCAAAGCGAGCATCAGAATGGGGACGAAAGGGGATTTAAGTGACTTTGAACGTGGTATGGTTGTTGGTACCAGACGGGCTGGTCTGAGTATTTCAGAAACTGCTCATCTACTGTGAATTTCACGCACAACCATCTTTAGGGTTTACAGAGAATGGTCTGAAAAAGAGAATATCCAGTGAGCAGCAGTTGTGTGGACAAAAATGCCTTGTTGATGTCAGAGGAGAATGGGCAGACTTGAAGCTACAGCAGCAGATGACCACCTCAGGTGCTATTCCTGTCAGCTAACAGGAAACTGAGGCTACAATTCACACAGGCTCACCAAAATTGGACAATGGAAGATTGGAAAAACATTGTCTGGTCTGATGAGTCTCGATTTCAGCTGCGACATTCAGATGGTAGGGTCAGAATTTGGTGTAAACAACATGAAAGCATGGATCCATCCTGCTTTGTATCAGCGGTTCAGGCTGGTGGTGGTGTAATGATGTGGGGGATATTTTCTTGGCACACTCTGGGCCCCTTAGTACCAACTGAGCATCACTTAAACATAACAGCCTGAGTATTTTTGCTGACCATGTCCATCCCTTTATCGTGAAAGTAAAAGTCACCAGGATGGCCGAGTGGTTAAGGCGTTGCACTCAAGATGCAATGGACGTGAGTCCTCGTGGGTTCAAATCCCACTCCTGGTAGGAGGTTTTTGATTACAGGTTGTAGTGAACAACGGTGTGGATTTGTGCATTTTACATTGAATATATTTGGAGATACCCTAAATTCCTTTCTCCTCCCCAGAGAAGAAGGGGAGGGGTCAAAGTTGCTTTCTCTAATTGCTATCCCGACCATAAAACTTGCACCTTTTTGATTCCGAAGCTGATAACGCGGGGCCTGACTGTTAAACTGACAAAGGGACACGAACCAGCCATTGGCATTTCCCTAAACAGCCTATCAAAACTGGCCCCCCCACACATGTTTCCGTGGCAACTGACCTTATTCTTTGTTTTATTACCACATCAAAAAGGAAAACCCCTGTCTCACCCAAGTGTGACATAGTCCAGACACTGAACTTTGAATGGCCAAAGACTGCAGTCTCCAAAGACTCAAAGCATTTAATTAAGTTTAATTAAATCTTTAGTTACCTGATTACGTTTGCCTCTATTTGAGTAGTTATGTTAACTGTTGTTGCTATCTGTTGTTGATATTAGTGCTGAAAAGAAGTTACTTGTGCAGTGTTTTTATTTTCAGCAAGACACTCCTTCATCTAATGTAATCAATGCTTGTTCATAATACTTTCTTACAAAATTCCTTTAGAAATGATGACAAAGGAATGTTTTACTATACTCTTAATCGCCAGCTTGAATTTAAGGATGAATCAACAATATTCCCCGGTTCCTAAGGAGAGACGATCTTTGATTTAATCCAAGCTTTCCTCATGTAACCTGAGCTCCCCCAAGTGGACGAAATAAGTATTACATGCCCTCATCGGAAATGCTGTTAAATGTATAAATATCCTGACCAATAATGTGACAATTGTTTCCTGTTACCAAATGCCTAGAACAGTACAACCGTTTGACCGCTGAGGTTCGATTGTGGAAAATATTTGATTATAATACGTGCAAATAGATTTCTTTTTAGACATGCCTAAACATAAGTTTAGAAAGGCAGTCCCTTGGGAAACCTAAGACACCCCCCGGGGAACCACGCACCAGGCAACAAAAGAGCGACACGCGACCTCGCTGCGCTCTTCTCTTCGCTGTTGGCTCTCTTCCACTCGGCTCGGCCCTCTGGACGCTTCGGCACGCGTGTGGCGTGCCTCGCCAGGCATCGCCCGGACTCGGCCAGCGAGACAGGTCTTTTGTTCGCCTGAAGCTACACACCTGAAGTGCCGCGACATCGATCTGCCTTCAGTTTGTTTTAATTTCTTTATTTCTTTTGTTTGTTAAAGTTATCAGTCCGTTAAGTTACACTGGACTAATTCAGGAACGACCAAGTTCCATTTTAAGCCTTTTTCGTCAAGCCAACTTCACTGACTGACTGATTTAAGATAATTGAGCGATTATTAACTAACTGATCACTAGTAATAATTGTATAATTATTCAAAACTACCTAGAGGTCCGGAGACTCTAGGATTATAACAACTCTGGTGGTGCCCCTGGAACAAGGATAATTTAGATTTTATGAATATTAATTCATAATTGGGTATCAATTCTCATAAATTTATTAAAATGCATAACTATAAAATTTAGGTCTGCTACTAGGTTGTGGATGACATGACGATAACATGTCCCATCCCTTTATCGTTACTAAGTAAAAGTCACCAGGATGGCCGAGTGGTTAAGGCGTTGGACTTAAGATCCAATGGGCACAAGCTCTCGTGGGTTCGAACCCCACTCCTGGTAATGAGATGTGTTTATTGGGGAGGATCACTAAGATTTCTGCAATGAAATGCATTCAGCAGTCACTTTATTAGGTACACCTGTTCAATTGCTTGTTAACACAAACAGCCAATCACTTGGCAGTGCATTTAGCTATGTAGACGGGGTCAAGACCACAGTGTACCCATCTTCTGATGGCTGCTTCCAGCAGGATAATGCACCACGTCACAAATATCAAATCATCTCAAACTGCTTTCTTGAACATAACAATTAGTTCACTGTAATCCAGCGGCCTCCACAGTCCCCAGATCTCAATCTAATAGAGCACCTTTGGGATGTGGTGGCACGGGAGATTTGCATCATGGATGTGCAGCTGACAAATCTGCAACTGTGAGATGCTATCCTGCAAGTCTTCATGTAGAAATCAGTTACTGAGCTCAACATTTTTAGACGTTTTCTACTGCATTTTTTTATCTCACCAAGATGGCCGAGTCGTTAAGGCGTTGCACTCAAAATGCAATGGACGTGAGTCCTTGTGGGTTCAAATCCCACTACTGGTAGGAGGTTTTTGATTACGGGTAGTGGATGACGATAACATGTCCCATCCCTTTATCGTAACTAAGTAAAAGTCACCAGGATGGCCGAGTGGTTAAGGCGTTGGACTTAAGATCCAATGGGCACAAGCCCTCGTGGGTTCGAACCCCACTCCTGGTAATGAGATGTGTTTATTGGGGAGGATCACTAAGATTTCTGCAATGAAATGCATTCAGCAGTCACTATTAGGTGTTCAATTGCTTGTTAACACAAACAGCTTATCACTTGGCAGCATCTCCATGCATTTAGGTATGTAGACGGGGTCAAGACCACAGTGTACCCATCTTCTGATGGCTGCTTCCAGCAGGATAATGCACCACGTCACAAAGCTCAAATCATCTCAAACTGCTTTCTTGAACATAACAATTAGTTCACTGTAATCCAGTGGCCTCCACAGTCACCAGATTTCAATCTAATAGAGCACCTTTGGGATGTGGTGGCACGGGAGATTTGCATCATGGATGTGCAGCTGACAAATCTGCAACTGTGAGATGCTATCCTGCAAGTCTTCATGTAGAAATCAGTTACTGAGCTCAACATTTTTAGACGTTTTCTACTGCATTTTTTTATCTCACCAAGATGGCCGAGTCGTTAAGGCGTTGCACTCAAAATGCAATGGACGTGAGTCCTTGTGGGTTCAAATCCCACTACTGGTAGGAGGTTTTTGATTACGGGTAGTGGATGACGATAACATGTCCCATCCCTTTATCGTAACTAAGTAAAAGTCACCAGGATGGCCGAGTGGTTAAGGCGTTGGACTTAAGATCCAATGGGCACAAGCCCTCGTGGGTTCGAACCCCACTCCTGGTAATGAGATGTGTTTATTGGGGAGGATCACTAAGATTTCTGCAATGAAATGCATTCAGCAGTCACTTTATTAGGTACACCTGTTCAATTGCTTGTTAACACAAACAGCCAATCACTTGGCAGTGCATTTAGCTATGTAGACGGGGTCAAGACCACAGTGTACCCATCTTCTGATGGCTGCTTCCAGCAGGATAATGCACCACGTCACAAATATCAAATCATCTCAAACTGCTTTCTTGAACATAACAATTAGTTCACTGTAATCCAATGGCCTCCACAGTCCCCAGATCTCAATCTAATAGAGCACCTTTGGGATGTGGTGGCACGGGAGATTTGCATCATGGATGTGCAGCTGACAAATCTGAAGCAACTGCGTGATTCTATCATGTCTCTGAGGAATGTTTCCAAAACTGTGTTGAAAGTATGCAACAGGAATTAAGGCAGATCTGAAGGCAAAAGGGGGTCCAACCCAGTACTGACAAGGTGTATCTAATAAAGTGGGCAGTTAGTGTACGTTAAGCTGGTAGTGAATGAAAGGGCTTTATTTAGATTTTATTTTGTATTGTTGCTGCCATAGAATCCTGGAATAAGTCAACGTTCAAGGATGAACTCTTTCCTTCACTTCGTCCTCAAAGTATAAAATAGTCAATACCTGAATCTTCCAGTTATGTGAGAGTTTTAACTAAAAAATAAAGAATGGAGTGTGGGCATTCAGAAAACAGAAGTTTTTTTAAATTCCAATTTCAAGAAAATCGGAATGCAAAATAAATATGCACAGACACTGAAATACATAAGCAGTGGTGTGTAAGTGTTACCGTTTTCATCTGCGCCTCCTGTCTCTGCTGGACTCTGCTCATCCTCAGGAGCTTCCGGATAGATGATGGCAGTGTCTCCCTGCTGGAGAATCTCCTCCACTAGAGTATCCTTCACTGCCTCCTCTTCCTCTTCTGACACAAACTCCTCTTTCACTAAAAACACACACACAGTTTCCAAACAAGTTTTAAAAGAATCAACAACTAAACAACTAGACTCCAATGACTGAATCAGCAGCTGTATATGATGCTGTTTTGCATTATCACCACTAGAGAGAGGTAAAGTGCTTCTTTATAATCCCCTGTGCCGACCAAGACCGACACCATTTAAGTTGTTGTTTTGAAAGTACAGAGCTCGGTTTCATATCATGTGTGCTGTGCTGTGAGGAAATGTGGATCAAGCCAAACGGATAGAGTAAAAAGAGGAACATTCCCCAATTTGGATTTGGTAATTTTAGACAGCTAGACACTGGCCAAACTTTCCAAACTCTTCACACCTATAAGACAGGCAAAAACATGTCTAAAGGGCACAAGCAATCACTGAACTTTCATAAATTCGAAGGTGAGAATGGTAAAAAGAACATCAACTAAAATTTTTGTAACAACACAAGAAAGTATAGCACAGCTTGTTCCACTGACCTTTTCATGTGCAAAATTACTTACTAGGCTAAGGTTAAAAGAAAAACACCAAAATTGCTGTTTATGTAATAGCTGTACTGAGCAGTGACCTGTGGGAACAAAATTTCCTTCCTACCTCTAACAGCAACCAGCACTGAGCCCTTCTGAAATTGTAATCTTTTTTTCCCAAAACAAGCAGTTCAGCAATAAAACCATCTATAATTTATACAGCTACATCCGGTTTATCTCATACAGCAGCAGCTGATCTGGCCTGATGAAGTTTGCTGAGGTTTGAGTTCACTCGGACCAGCTTGTTTACTATAAAAAGAGACAGGCTCAAACACATACTAAGACGAATAATTAGACGGCTGGATTTGACTCTGACGTGGCACTTCAGAAGGAAGTGACCTGGGAATGAAACAGTGGTGTGACACTAACAGTCCTCCATCTAACACTTCCTCTCATTAAACAAAACACCATTTTATATTCAAGTTAACCTCACATAAGAGACACAGACAGGAATGCATAAGTTCATAAACTTAAGTGTTTTATCGCCCACCTCACGCTGAATATCTAAGCTGTTTCAACAGGCACTCAGGTGCAATAAGATGTAAACAAGTTTGACATAAAGGCTGGAATTGTCTACTGTTGCCATGGCATTACAGTGATATTTAGATATTTATAAAGCCGAAAGGGAAGGCTTTTATTGCATTTACCTATGTACAATCTTTGTCTTCAGTCAACTATTTTAAGATTTATTATGGCTAGCTTTTAGTCATTGATACAAGCAACCAATGGCAAAGAAAGGTCAAAGTGGAAAAACAAATCTTGAATGTTTACTGTAGCTCAAAGTGACAGTGTGTCATAACTAAAGGCTGTGAAGCATGCTCAAGTTGTCTCATATTTTCATAGGTAGACCGTAGACCAACACTGACATCTGACAAAATAGTCTATAATGGTTCATTTCCATGTTAAAACTGCAGCAGATGGTACTGCATTTGGTAATCCAATTCCATAAAGCTGGGCTACTAACAAGAGACAGATGAAAAGATAATGATCACAAGCAAAGCAACAGAGGCAGAGATGTCTCTCAAACTGCCAAAACACTGGATCCTACAGTTCCCATAATGCAACTCGATAGTATCGTTCATTAGACGCCCCCCTACCTCTTAAATGCCCTCTTCTTTGAACTCCACACCTCCAGTGTACAACACAGGCTTTCTGTTAATAATGTGAAGTATCAAGACCAATCTGAGATAACCCTGAACAATGTCATTTTTCTCAAACTTTGAAAAGCTCTCTTTGGAGCCAAAGAAGACAATTCTGAACAGTTTTCACAGGCTAAGTTGTGCTCCTCGTAACATGAGTAAACTGAACCTAACAGACAAATTGGTAGAGTGCCCCTTTAAGGTTACTATCAGGTTTGAAGCCAAGTGAAGCAAGAGCCAAGGCAACATAACTTACTAATTATTTTCTTGTTTTGTACTTTAATAGCGAGATTTATTTGTCTCACAACTTTGTTGTCTTTGTCTTTATTTTACTCTTTATTGGCCGATGTAAAGCACCTTCTAACATTGTTTAGAAAGGTGCTCTTTCAAAAAACTTTCTTCCCATTTTTAACATGAGTGACACAGAGTAACTGTTAATTGTTGGTTTTAATAGAATTTCCCTTGCAGTCGATGACATCTTTATGGCCCTGTTTACACCTGGCATTAACACTGTGATCGGACCGGACTCCTCCGCTCTATATGTAAATTAGCGTGTACATCATTTCCGTTTGCAAAGACCAAATGCGTTGTTGGTTTTAACTTGAATTGAAATGAAATTACTGTTATGGCCTCACTGATTACTGGACAAAAACACAACTTTATTCAATGATTTTGGTGACATTGGATCACATTTTATGGAGAATTTTTTTTCCCTCTGATGTCCTCTGATGCTCTGCCTCAACTTTACGGAGTTTCCTGAGGGACAGATAGCTAGACTTGTTGCTAAAGTAACCGCTAACTGTGGCTATCTCTAGCTACTGATGGCTTGTTAGCTCAGTTAGCCACGCAGAGAAGAAGAATAAATAAAGATTAAATAAAGCTTTATTAAATCTCCTCCTTCCAGCAGTCCAAAGACCCTGTGCTAGCTGACACTGCCCTGGTGCACCGAGCTCCCAGTCAAATACAGTTAGCAGCAGTTAACAGTTGTCCATCAGGAAACTCTGTAAATCACTGGGAGTTGAGGCAGAGCAGCCGGAGTACATCAGACAGCAGGTTTCATGTGTACTCCATCTGTGAGACTCCATTTTGCCTGGTGTTGTGGCTTCTTCTTCTTCTTTCAGAACTTTAATTTGATGCCGTTAGTGCTGTTCTCTCTGTACATCCATGGTTGATGCACAAATGAGTACGTACATCCAATACGCAGAGGACATCAGTTGAGTAGGCGGATCTTCAATATGACCCAGACCACCTCCGAATGTGGTCCATTCTCACCTGTCCTTTCAGCAGTCCACTTGTAATTGGATTACCCATGACGCATGTTAATGCCAGGTGTAAACAGGGCCTGGCTCTGTTGCCTTTGTTTAAGATCTGGGGTTTTGTGCTGTTTCACTGTTTATAACAGTAGTAAAGTATCAGGGGCAGACGTTACCTCACTTTCTGTGTGTAAAAAACACTGATAAGAACAAGCAGTGAGGTGAAACTGTGAGCAGTGTTGCCATGGAGATCCAGCATTTTAAATGCAGGCAGGATCGGTGCCAAAGACCACGCCTCTTCCTGCTGAGCCTTGTCAGGGACAGGTGCAGCAGTGTGTGTGCATGTCGGTTTGTGTGTGAGTCTGTGTGTGTCTTCATAAAGAAGAGGCGGGACCAGGCCAACTCCTGTTAAGCCTCATTTCAAACATGGAGATCTCTGCTTCCCATGATCTCATCCAAAAACTTTCCAAATCTCTCTTTCCCCCTCAGAGTCACACTCATCTACCTTCCATATAATAATAATAATAATAACAAGCTGAAGAGGAAACAATTTAGCTGTTTTTTCTTTCGTCTGGGCATTTAGTGTGGACGGACAGCTTTACAAAAACAACCTGAAAACACTAGTATACCTAAGTAGACCTAAGCAGCATTTTCAAAATGACTCAGCAGTTTACTATGGATGTAGTAACTTGTTCCCTAACCGCCCCTTTTTCTCTACATCTTTTGTCCTCCTCCTTCTTGCCTCCTGCTAATTCCCTCCATCACTCTTTCACCCTTTCTTGCTCCCTCTTCCTTCCCACTCCTTTGCCATTTCTCTTACTCCTCAACACTCACTTCTCTCTCTTCTCTCCATTTTCTCTTCTAACTTCTACCCCCATCTGTCTCTGCACCTTCATCTTTTCTTTAAATTCCATCTCTTGCCTTTTTTTGTTTCTGCCCTTCACCTCCCTCCTTTAGTTGCTTGCTTTATTTCCCTCCATCACTCCTCCTTCTGACCCCCCCAACCCCCGTCTGATACACCTCTCTGCATATTTTCCCACCACACTCTACAATTACACTTAATGCCTCAGAAAAAGTCACGCAGTAATAACGACCAGCACTCCGCAACACGCACACATGTGGAATATCAGAATGGAATGAAAACAGGAAATCATGTGATGCATACACACACGTACACATACGCACTCCGCATTTGCACGGGAACACACACCGGCGGAGTTATTCACGAGCACAAGCACCCACTAAAGGCACACACATACACACAGCACTGCACTTGTATACCTTGCCAGAACCTGTCACTGTGAGTCCGTGGTGAATTTATAAGGCAGGATGGATTGGAGCTGCAGTGCGGCCCAGACTGCAGGCGGAGTAGCAGACACTAATCTCTCACCAGAGGACCAATTCAACACCAGCTGCTCTCCCTGCTTTCTCCTCTCGCCTCAGACGGGGACGAAAGAAAGGAGTGAAAGTCAGACAATCCAAAAATATCACACGGAGCCTTTTGAAGGGTTACCAACGTGGCTCTATGGCACTGCAACATTTCATGACTTTTCCATGACTTCCTTCCAACACCGTCGGAACTCTTCCACACACACTAAAAGTGTTACTCCTTCCTGGTTTGTTAATGTTTTTCTAAAGAAGTGAATAGGCTGGTTTCTGCCGCAGGTGCAACTGTGAAAAAAAAAGCTATGAATGCACGACGTGGGCAAATACATTATGGTGCCCTACTGTAACGGGACTCAATTACTTAAGTGTCCCCAAAGAACTGATCAGATTCAAAGAACTTCCCCATCAAGATTTTATAATAGACATTATAAGTTCAGTATTCTTCCAGAAATGTGTCTGCCTGTGTGTTGGTCTGTATATATGAGAAATTGTCATCATTTTTGCACTAATGTTGACATTTTAGATATTTAATTGCTCTTATGTACTGTAGAATAACTAAAATGTGGGCACATTTACTATCTTACATTATTGCCATGTGAAGCACCTGATAGTAAAGGTCAAGGGTTGAAAAACACAGCATTCAGGCAATGAATGAACTATTTCTCTCTGCTCAACGCTACATACTCGACTC